AGGAATGCTCTGCATCAGAGCCTTGGCTCCCTCGCCCCCTGTGCATTAGCCTGGCAGCTGCTAAGCGAAGCCATTATCGATGTCACATCATAACCTTGTTTAAAAGCACGTTTGGAGAGGGCTTAGTCGTTGTATTGTTTCAGGTGGAGACGTGCAGGGACAGATGGGAGGCTCTGGGTTTCCTTGGCCAGGTGTTTGATGCCCTGGGAAAGGGCACTTCCCCAGGCACTGGGAGGGCTGAGCATCCCCCTCCCTCCCAGGGACACCTGGAACTCTGCAGGCATCGGGAAATGCTGTTTCACCTGGTGTGTCCCAGTGGCCTTGGTGAGGTGACAGCCACCATCCTGCAGGGTCGTGCTTGGGGTGACCCACACACACCAGGTTCCCCCTGCAGGACCCCACCCTGCCCACACCTGGTGGTGGGGGAAACCTCCCAGGGGCACATCTCTGCCCCCATGGGAGGAGCTCAGCCTGGAGAGGCTCCCAGGGAGTAGCAGAGGGATTTTTCCCACCCAGCCCCAGGATCTCCCCCGAGCTATGCCTGCCTGCTCCTCACTGCAGCAGCATGGGATGCAGTTGGTGCAGGGAAGGCAGCCCCCACTGCCCCTCCGTGTTCTCCCTGTGTTTCTGGGGAGCTGCCCTCCCCCAGCTGTAGGTTGTTGGGCACAGACAGGATGGGGCCTCATAGAGCCCTGCCTGGTGGGGCTGGGCTGACAGGGCTCCCTCAAACCTTCTGCATGTCCTCTGTGACATGGCCAGGGGTCTTCAGTGGTGGCCCAGTGCCTTGGGGCAGGACCCAGACTCCCACTCACCTGGTGAAGCATCGCTGGGCTGGGCTGGCACAGGGAAGGGATGGATTGGGGGGAGCCAGAGCTGACTCCAATGGGGCATTGCATGGAGGGGAGGTGTCCCCAGGGTCATGCCAGGTCACCCCCTGTCCCAGCAGGGCTCCGATGCCTCCATCCCACGGGAGCAGGGGGCACTGTGAGGCTGTACCAGGGCAGGATCTGGCACTCAGAGCCAAGCCAGTGGCATCAGGCCACCATCCCACAGCGGGGCATGCTGCATGCCCAGCCCTCACCTTCCCCTGCATCACTGCAGCCCCGAGACTCTGCAAACTGATTTCAGACATTTAAAAATACAGAACAATTGGTATCGAGGTTACACTGAACGCTAGAGCTTCCCACGGAACTACTTTATCATGTTCAAAAATATTTAATCCCAGCAATTTTCACATTGTTCTTATAAAAACAGACATGTATGAAGGGAAATGAAATGCTTCGTACATTTTTGGCACATTTTTTTTCTTTTTTTTTTTGTCTCATTTTTTTTTAACCTTTACAAATTACAAACACACATTCTCTGTTTTTAAAGGAAAACCCCTAAATCCCAGCTGTACACTGCAGAGCTGCACTAACCACCACGAGCTAACCCAGCCTCTCACTGCTGTGACTGTTCTACAAGGGCAAAAGAAGGACACCAGCAACCAAGGGCATGGTGGTGACTTTGCTGCCCTCCCCAGGGGCTGGCTGGGGGCTGTGGCATGGGGGGCACCGGGAGGGGATGGCCCTTTGGGGGTCTGTGTCCTCACTGCTGCCTGGCTCTGGCAGGGGTGATGCGGTGAAGGAGCACAGGAGATGCTGAGTGTGGAACTGGAGGTCAAGACCAGCTCTAAGGGGCTGATTTCTGTCTGTTCTTCTCCCCATGGACTGGTGTCCTGTGCTGGAGCCCCCACACATCCCACCTGCCTTTCTTTCCCCAGTACACCCCTTTCCCTCTCTGTCTCCTGTGAGACGCAGCGAGGTGCTGATGTGGGAGGTGCTGGGTGGGCTGTGCTGCCTCCAGCTCTTCACGCCGGGGTCAGCGG